TTTGCCAAAAACTAATCAGCATTCAATTTTTTTTTAATTTTTCAAAATCTTTTCATAATTGTGAGCTGAAACGTGGACGTACACTTTTTGCTGACAAACGATAGTCCTCGACAAAATACGTCTAATGGCTTTTGAAATTTTGAAATCGGTTCAGCCGTTCTTGAGAAAACGACGACGAAAGGTAAAAAATCGGCTGCCATACACACAAACTCATCCATGCATACACACACATCATTTTTCTAAATTTGGTCTCATTCGATTCTGAATACATAAAATCAAATCCGATTTTTGGACGAAAACACGGAAGTTAATAAATAGTGGGTCACGACATTGTGCAAGAACTTTCCGTAAAGTTATTTGCAAAGTAAAAATAATCTATCATCAATAAAAATTCATCAAAAATATAAATATAACAATAATAATAATTGTTTTAAATAATTATTATTAATTAACTTCCCGTAGGGTGAGTTATAGTAATCGCAAAAAAATCGAAAAATACATTTTTTTATATATCTTTACGTTTTAGAGGTTTCTGAATATTTTGGCATACCTTTGAAAAAATGGATGTATGTGTGTGTGTGTGTGCGTGTGTGTATGTGCGTGCGGATACAAATTTTCGTCGAGGATTTCGAATAATTCAAAAAACATTCGATTTGTATTGATAAGGAGACGTGCTGATTAGTTTTTGGCAAAGGCAGGTCTAGCCGTTCCGAAGATACGGGGCAAAAAGTACCAAAAACGGTAATCCAGTTTTTAAGAGAACGGAGAGTCCGATTTGAATAATTCAAAAAACATTTTACTTGTATTAACAAGATGAAGAACTGATCAAATTTTCATAAAGGCGGGTCTAGCGGTTTTGGAGATCTAGTGAAAAAAGTAAAAAAAAAATGACATCTGGCGGTCAAAAATGATCATTAGACATGTGCACATGTGCATCAGATATTTTATAGACATTTTAACAATAAGTATAAATTTTGTTTACATTCCTATGGGTTCCGTACCAATGCTTATCCGTTAGACGGCGGCGCGGCGCTTACGCGCTTCGATATTTCGTTTCTATGCAGTTAAAGCAGTATGATTGCTTTGAAAAAAAGTTCAAAGTTTCCAAAATATTTCAAAATATACTATTCTTCAAAAAGTCTTTTTTTCAAAAAAAGTAAATTTTTGTCAAAAATTTATAGTTTCTCAAAAATCTAATTTTTTAGAGTATTTTTTTTTCAAAAATCTTTAAAAAAAAAAAAAAAAATTGGTGCGGGAAGTTCCAGCAATTTGCCTTAACGCACGATGCCATGCGCTCCACTAGTTATATAAATAATTAAAGTAATTATTATAACTACTGTAATTTTATCATCGTTTATTTAAAATCTAATATAAGAGCTTATATTTGTGTGACGACTTCATCTATAAGAATAGAAACAGAATAAACAAGCACAGTACTTTTTGCCGTTTCTCCGAAACCGTTAGTTCTGCCTTCACAAAAAATTTCATTATTAGGTTTGACGGAGAGAAGTACTGCTTAGTTTTTGGCAATGACAGGTTCAGCCGTTCCGAAGATATAGAGCAAAAAGTGAAAGAAATAGTAGATTTTGAGAAAGCGGAACATCCAATTAGAATTATTTAAAAAGCATGAATAGTTTTTGGGCAAGGTAGGTTTAGCACTTTCAAATTTTTCCCAAATCGGCTCCCAAAACCAGCACGATACCTCTTTCAATTTTGAAAAAAACTAGTGGTGTGTATGGCATCGTGCCTTAAGGCAAATTGCTGGAACTTCCCGCCCCGTAACGAAATATTCGAGGCATATTAAATGTTTTCAAATAGATTATTATAAATAAATACTGTAATATAGTCTGATATTTATATGAATCATATAAACTGAATTGCAAAGTTGAAATTATTTGTTTAAAGTATATTAGAACTTTAGTCACAATTAAAAATAATTTCTGAACTATTTTCGATTAACAACAAAAAAACTTCTTGAAAAGCAATTATTTTGTTAAAACAAGCAGAAAGTTCTTTGAATCATCATCATTTTCTAAATTTGGTCTAAGACACAGATACACATACATATTTTTTTCATTGATGTTTCAGATCAGTTCGAATTTTCTGGTAAAAACAAACTTATCCTTCGGGAAGTTATAAAAATCATATTGAAGCCCTCACATTATTTAAATCAAAGACTCCGACATTAAAAATAATGATTCTGTGTTACGTAATGTTGTTGGATTGCTATTCTAAAATCCTACCTTATGTAGTGATAATAAAATATTTCGGCCATTTCCAATTTAATTTTGCTTATTTACTTAAAATTTTATTGAAGTCTATAAATGTTTGCTCTTTCACTTCATTTACCCGAAAAATATGTATACGAACGCAATACACTTTATAATATACGCCACGACACGACCCGAAAGACGACATTTTGGAAACTAATCCTTTCCCGACAAGTTGTTGCAACCTACTGTCATTTTTTAATATTAAATTGTGGCGCCATGTTTAGGACGATAAAAGAACTATAAAATTTTATTTAATTTATATAATTCAACCAATTTTCGTAGAATCAGTGCATAAATTTTATTACCATGTTGAATTTCATGAAATACGTCAAAACATTTTTTAACTTAATAAATTATTAAAGCACCTGCTTTAATAATTTACGTAGTATTTGATATTACTAACATCCCGTAGGGTAAGATATAGTAATCACCCAATAAACTAAAATGAAAATGTGTGAATATCTTTATATTTCAAAGGTTTTTGAACATTTTGCAAACCTTAGCAAAAATGAATAAATGCATGTGTGTGTGTATGTATGGATAGAAATCTTTGAGATTATTGAGAGACGTGTTGGTTAGTTTGGTTTAATAATTTGGTTTAACCGTTTCGGAGATATGGAGTAGCAAACAACTATGTGCAATTATGTTTTTGAAAGTAAGAAGCATCTGACTTGAATGATTCAAAATCATTTCACTAGTAGAGAATTGATTAAAATTTTGCAAAGGTTCAGCGATTTCGGAGAACGAGAAAAAAACTGAAAAAGAAATGACATCTGGGGGTTGAAAATCAGATATTTTTCACAATATGAATCAATCAACCTAAATTGGTATCAAAAACTTTAAAATTAAAATAAAAAAATAAAAAATTTCAGTTTTTAAAATATTTCTAATACTTAAAAAAAAACAGTATTTTCGTAAATTTTGAAAAAATTCAAAAAATTTCATGATGTTCAAATAAAGCATTTTTTTCAATTTTTAAATATTCATTGTTTTGACAGATTATGTTTAATTAAATTTAAAAGAATGTTTTAGGTAAATATTATTTAATTGTAGTATATTGTTTTATTCATACACAGAAACATTAAGTAAATGGGCCGCAAGTGTTACTAGAAACTCAATTTTTTTTTAAATGTTAATATGAAAATTGGCTAATTGGTTAATATGAAAAACTCTTTTTGGCATTATGACACTCCTTTTTGGTAAATCAAATTTTTATCAAAGCCTTTAGTATTTGAGTTTTTATAATCATTTGTTTTCTCATTTTTAAATAGAAATAATGTTCTCGAATGCCTTTATTCAATCGTCTTGATTAGGTTTATATATATATATATATACTAGTTGACCCGACAGACGTCTACAATTTTTCAATATAATATACTAATATTTACCGTTTACCTAAAAATAACTATTGTTTTTTAAATTACTCTTCACTTCAAAATGCATGTACATTTATAATATGAGCGATGTTAAATGTAGAACTGCTTTAAATAAAATACTGAGTCTCAATTCCCACACAATATTGGAAATTGAAGTCCTTTAAGCGGTATAACATAACCATAGCCATAACCATAACATAACACTGGTACTTCATGTTGGATTAAATTAATGTATTTTTTTATTATTTGAGATATCCAAAATTGCATCTTAAACTTCTTCTAATCGATATCGTGATGGCCGAATTGTATGTTTTCATCTCTACTTTCCCATTTGTTGTTATAAAGTGATTTTTTACGAATTTTAAAAATATTGTGGAAAGATTAGTGAAAGATGCAAAGTAATTATATATTGAAGAAAAAACTATATTGAAAATTTAATACCCGAATCTTATGTTAGCGCCCCCTAAGGCGTGCACTCGTATTTTTCGCATGCATCGCATCAAAGGTAGGACCGACCATGATTAATACTTAACTTCATATTTTAAGTGAATTAATTTGTCATAGTGTATTTCATATTTTTTATTCATAATCATAAATTTATTAAACATATTCTAATATTGTTTAGGTTCATAAGTAAATTGAAATTTTTGGCAGATGATAGTTTTCATTTATTTTCAATGCAAACAATGACATGTCAATTTTTTCCATTTATTTCTACAATATTTCACATTCACCCCAGTAACAAACTTTCTTTAACCAACTTCAGAAAGATTTATCAAAATCCGAATAATCGTTAAGGAGGAGTATACAGTGAGTGCTCGTAATTTAATATTAACTTTATATAATAGCAATAAAGCTCAAATTGATTCTACGTTTTAGTTAGAAAACGTTTGTATTAGAATAAGAAAAGGGCTGCTTTTAGGGTTTTCCCGACGGTTATTTGGTTTTTCCTCGCCGTAAGAACCATCCTTGGAGTTCAACGAACATTTTAGAAAAAGAATTGGCCAAATTGGTCCACGCGTTGTTGAGTTATGCGCTTACCAACACATTTTGCGTTCCATTTTTATATATAAGTTATATATATATATATATATATATATATATATATATATATATATATATGTATATATATATATATATATATACAATTTATTGTAGTTGACTATTTTAATAAAATAAGCGCTTGTAAATTTACGGTACTCATAATAATTTATTTCAAAATATAAAAATAATTGTTATAATAACTGATTAATTCTTATTTATCATTGATCATTTTTATTTCTCGCATGTTTAATTGTGGTAAAACACCACTAGTTTACATATACCTAAATATCATATGTGTAATATTTACCTCGCTATCGTTGCTGTGCAACCGCAGCTTAAACCCCGGCAGCAAATCTTTCCGCCTATTGACGTCCTCCAGAGCCAAATTAGCCGCCGGCATGCAAGCTTGACCGCCTTGCCAGCCACCTTCACCGCCAATCGGAAAAATCCCGCCGATATGTAGCACATTCTCATCATCCGAATCATCACCTCTCGTCATGCGAGACGCGACGCGGTCTTTAGACTTCACTTCACTTTTCGGATTCACGAATTGAACTTCATCAGCAATAATCGCATCTTCTAACACCGTCACTTGCTTTCGTTTATCAAACCGCGGGGGGTTATTGGTTTTACTATGGGTACTATTACCCAACAAATCGGTTATGTGTCTATGTTTGATTTCACTGTGATGTCTTACGCCGAGTGTGACTTCGTGCACGATTTGATCGGTTTCTTGACGCGCGTTCGAAACGTCGTTGGGATAAAGCGGAGATTCGGTTTTAACGTGACGCGTCTTGCCGGTGGAGACGCCGCGCGCGACTCGGAGGACGTCGTGCGTGACGTCACCGCAGTGACATGGAGCAGGCAGGAGGATGCAGCACCGCAGGAGGAGAAGCAACCAAAACGAACGCCGCACGCTATGCAGCACCCGCCACTGAAAAATAATAAAAGAACTATATTAACATTTTATTTTTGTAGTATTATATAATTTAATGTCCTAATTATTTTATGGCTTTTCCAATTGGTTTTTACTTTATTAACTTTCCGTAGGGTGAGTTATAGTAATCGCAAAAAAATAAATTTTTTCCTACTTCTAAGCGTCAAATTTTCTTAACATTTTGGCGTACCATAGAAAAAATTGATGTTTTGTTTTTAAATTTTTATTGGCCTCCGCTTTACAGCACTTTAAACCACCTACATTATTCATATTATTTTTCATCATATTCTATACAATTCTTACATATATATTTCTTATACATTCATCATATATATATACTATCTCTTCTTATATCCTAATCTTCCATTCAACTTTCTTTCTTCAATTCCATTAAATTTTCATGCTTCTTCTTGTTTCTCAATATGTTCTTCTCATCTTCTAAACTAAACTCCTATTTTCCTTCTTACTTATAATACAATTCTTAATCTGCTTTAATATTTTATATTTTTAATTCTGGTATTGCTGAAGATTTGAACCGAATTCCTCCGGCGTGTGAGTCGAGGACGCTACTGAGTATGCTATTCTCGCCACAAAATGGATGCATGATAGATACAAATTTTTCGGGACGTATGATGGATACACATTTTTGATAACGTTTTCGGGAGCACTGCTCAACCGATTTCAATGATTTAAAAAAATCTTCGATTCCTATTGACAAAATAAAAAATTTATTATTTTTTTTAATTGAAAAAAAAATGGGGGCAAGTCAAGCGATCTCGGAATTAAAAAAGAGTAGCAAATTTCTATGGGTTTGGTACCAAGATTTAAAGTATTCCACATTCACTTAAACGAATGACCTCAGCATTTTCGACAGCATAAATCAACCGACTTAAATAAGTTGCAACATTTTCAAGAATTTTCAAAATTGTGAAATAAAAATCGGCTTATTTTTTTTTTCAACAGTTAATTACAAGAAATCGGCTCGGCAGATTTTCATCTAAAACTATTCAGTGTCATTCTAAACTAATATCTTTTGAACAGTTTTTGATTTTTTAAAATCGATTTGGTAGCATAAGCTCAAATGTGGACGAAAAGTTTAACACTTTTCGCAAATTACAAAGAAACGGCTTGGCAGATCGTCGCACAAAACTAACAAACGATAGTCCTCGTTGAGATACATCAAATGGCTTTTAAATTTCTGAAATTGGTTCAGACGTTCTTGAGAAAATGTCGATAAAAGGTTTAATTTTGACAAATCCCAAAACACGTTACTAAGTTTTGCAATCTTTGATGAATTTTAAAAGTTAAACTACATATCGTAGGGCCGTAATATGTTAGTATGATCTATAAGTCTATGCTATCTACCGTAAAAAAACATAAAAATCGCCGAAATAAATAATTTTAGCACTTTATTACAAGAAAACGGTCCGGCCGATCTTTACCAAAAACTAATCAGCACGATTCTCAACCAATATTATTCGAACTGTTTTTGAATTTTTGAAATTGATTTAGAATTGCGGGCTCATCGAGGTACATCGAATGGCTTTTAAATTTTTGAAATCGGTCCAACCGTTTCCCAAATTTGGTCTCATTCGATTCAGAATAGCTTGAAACGTCAAGCGAGAAAACATAAAATTAGCGAATCGGATTTTTTGACGAAAACAAATTTCTCCTTCGGGAAGTTAATAAATGGGTAGTTAGAACATTTGTCTACGTCACACAACATAACATACTCATTTAAACAATCTTAAATCATATGAGTATAATAAAATATTATATAAAAGAACATAACTTTTAAAACAAAGTTAACAATTAATAAACTGAACTATGAGATCATTTTCTTTATATATATCATAATTAGTAATAGTATGTTATTTTAATAGATTACTTTAATAGAATCATTCAGAATGTAAACTAACAATTATTACCTAACTAAGCAGTCACTTCATCAACATCAATATACTGAGATCTAGTCAGAATCATATGAAATGTCTTGGATTGGTAGATGTGGCGACAAGATATGAATAGTTTCAGGTACCGTCACCCACTTATAGTTAAAGTATTAACAACACCACTTTCAATGTAACTAATACTGTTTGTATTTCAATTATAAGTGATTGAATACAATTTATAATAACGGTTACCAACTGGATTCGCCTTAGGTATATTTCGTACATGTACTCGATGAATCAACTAACCCCGAGTGTCGGCATTGATAACTGAACCTAACTGAACCGAAAAGAACCGAAAGAAATCTAAAATTACCGAGAGTGTTGGCAGTACAGCCGTTTAATACTGGCCAGGTGAACGTTGCATACCGGGTTGCACAACCTGAAGCAATTTCAGAGGTATGCAACCGTTATTATACATTTATAAAATAAAGAACAAGGTTCATTACTCAACACATGATTACGTATTTTACGTGAAACCCAGGGTTTCACTTGATCCTTTATGCCAACCCTAAATACAAAATATGAGCTTCCACAAACCGAGCAGAATCAATCATCGAATTATGATACCGGTTATAGAATCTTTCTTTTTTATATTGTTTTTTTTTTAAATTCGCTCTTTCCTTCGTATTTTGTCTTACTTCAGCTAGATTTTTCTTTACATGTTCAACCGAAAAAAGACACAAAAAACATTTCGCGGCCGTACTCAACGACACTTTTTGAGACAAATCATCGTTATGACCGTTTTTAATTATCTACGCAAAAACGAATTGCTGGTAACTAACTACTGATGCTCAGCTTATAGCAAAATGACAAACATAGTAATCTATCTGTGTACTATTAGCAGTTATTATTAAAAGAAGCCGAACAAAAAAACTCACTTTTGATGCTTTGAAAAAAATGCGGTCTACTAGATCATGTCAATCTACGGCACTGAAATAGAGTAATATTTGAACTTGTTCAAACAAACATACTACATCTTTACTCTCTTAGATCCTATTCCAAGATTAATTACAATTGACCTTTTCTTTTCAGTGCGCGTTTTTTCAGTTTGAATAGCATGGTTATGTAAATCCATAAATGTTACGTTTAATTCCTAAAGTTTTTTAAAATTCAGCCAATTTATTTATGTGTGTGAGTATGTTTACTGTGTGAGTGAGTTTAAACATAAGCACAATAGCTCGCTATATGTGACGATTCACATCTAAATCATTCAAATATATAAATATGTATCTACAGTTTTAACTTCTTATAAATTAATTGTGTATTATGAATTAATTTTGTTAATGTATTTATATAAATGGTATTGGTGGGCTAAATGACCGACTGGTTAAAGGCCTTAAAAAAAATAAATAATAAAAAAAAAAAACTTCTTATAACTTAACACTTACGGGACGGTGCCGATTTTGAAACAATCTATTGTACCGGCTGTAAACTTGATTTCATTGTGTATGTTATGCAATTTGTTTGATAAAAATTTGGTCATTGAAGGACATACATTTATAATATTAATTTATTTTTGAACATTTTATAAAAAATGGTGACGTTCAAAACAATTTCCAAAATGCATAGCTGTTTGATTTTGACATATTTTACAATAAAATTTTGTTCGCCGCCTTCCCGCTGGTGCTTTTCTGTCAGAACAGACAATACAATCTCTTTTTCTTTCCCTCGCATTTAGAATATGCCACTAATTAGTCAGTATATTAGTTCATCATCATGGTTTGTTTTTTCTATTATATTGTCTAATAATTCATTTGTAAAATATAAAGTAAAATAATCTATTGGATGTCTTATATTGCTTATATATAGTCGGGGTGTTTGTTGATGTATTTGACAATTCGATTATTGAAGGAGAATCGGCACATTCGCTAATGTCTTTCCGCTCTTCATTTAATTTGTCGAACTTCTTCTTCTTTTTGTTGGTTGGATAATATCATCATCACATTCATCACTATCTCCTGTGCAAATAGTAATTTCGTAAAATTTGTCTGTATGAATGTCTATTTGAAACTCATCTTTACTACCCTAGACAATATAATAATATGTGTTCACTACTGCTTAATTCCAAAATTTACCAGTCATTTTGCCATATTTACAAGCGCTTGGTCGTTTTAAATATTAAATAATTATTAAAAAAGACCATATAGCAAAGAAAAAGGCTAACGATACTTCTAAAATAACTTAAAATTATTTTCAAAATTCAACTCTGTTTATCACTGCTAATTGTAACTTATTCAACTTTTCGATGCAAACTGAGTCATTGTTTATAAAATAGCCTGTGCCTCACAGAGTATGTTTGTCCACTCTGGTGGGCAGCCGTCCCCAAAGAGTTAATATTTAAACGAAATTACCATAAAATATTTTTCAAATTCAACACACAGAATAAAAATACCACGTGCCTAATTATTTTGGCATTTTGTTAAATCACACAAATATTTCCCTTTACCAAAAAATATTTTGGTGTGCAAATGCTAAATGTGCAAAATGAATGTGATAAATATAATGTTCAGCACTGAATAATATGAATAATAAATTGCACAAAAACTTTATTTTAAATTATCTACAAAATGATTTTCGCTTTGTTGAAATTACTTTTTACATTAATCATGCAAGTAGTAAAATATTCACAACATAAAAGACTCATTTATAACATCCAGCGAGTGAAGCTGGCACGTGGCAATCATCCAAATCATAGCGAAAATTGTGTGTTTTGAAAATTTAGTTTATCAAAGTACCTAAGGAAATTAATTTATATAAATTTAATTAACATACACCTCTTGAAAAATTGTTTTGTGAGATAAAGTTTTTAACAGAAATGAGAATTATGATTTTGCAAGAAATCAAAAACTCGTTCAGAAATTTAGCAGACGCCGAAAATGATTAGGAAAAGTTTAAGGATAATGGAGAATGTACCTAATTAAAATATAAA